TGAGTATTATGTATCGTTGGCCAATGTATTAATATTTAATCTGTGCAATATGATAATACTGTTTTCAAACCCTTGAAGGGTAGTATTTGAATCACAGCTTCTGTCGATATCGTCTTGTTTCTGTAGAGATATTTACTCTAATTTATGACATTTGATAATTCATTGAACGTATTTTCATGGAACATGGAAAGGTAATGCAAAATACATGCCATATACAAAATATTTTCTTTTGATAGAATTTTTAGCCTTTGTTACATAAAGTACAATATACATTGTCTTACAACTCGAATCACTGAAACTTCATTAAAAAGTTGAGGTTAACTAAAATGGTGCCCCACGTTGTTGGTAATGGGTGGAATTAAGGTAATATTTTACTTTTTTAAAAGTTACTTTTTTATAACAACATTCTAGTTTATAACAATTTTTAAAAAAATGCTAATTACCATTCCAGGGAAATGCTGTATTATTTTTTTAATCACATTTTGTTGTTTCTGGTTTATTTCTTTGTTTCCCACAACATCTACAAACACAGATTGAACCATGATGATCTATTCAAAATACTTCTGTGTTTTTTTTTTTTTGTGGAATATTTTGTACTTATGAATAACATAGAAAAACCTTGTTTTAGTTTTGTATAATTTACAGTTCATCAAAATGTTTATTTCCTTTTCAATATAAAATGGGTATTTTTCATTAATATGTGGAAACATACAATTAAAAAGTACAGAAGTATGCTCCATACTGCTGCTTTCCATCACTGGTGGTTGGGCTTATTCTGATAAAGGTGATGATTAAAAAAATGTTTTACACAAAGAGAAAAATTTAATCCATAACTGGTTTAACAATGAAAATACTGTTTTTCAAGTAATACAACTTACATTGTGCATAACTCTTGCAGGACTGATTCACTTGCCTACCTTGTGCGGTAGAGTAAGGGATGATGTCACTGTCACTCAGTCATTTACAGCTTTAAAAAGCAGCAGTGGGGGAAATGGAAAAGTTTAAATAAATAAAGTAATCACAATAACAACAAGCTGAGCAGAGATGATGGGTATACTTTAGGAATATATGTTTAGAAGTAAATAAAAATTTAGCAAATCTAAAATGTTTTGGTTGTGCTTGTAGGAATGTTTGATTGGGAAATACTAAGGAAATGTTACCAAATCGATGATGATACTGAGTAACATCTTGCATAGAGCAAAGCCTCCTGTGTGGAGGAGGAGGGAACACCCAAATCCTGTCTATACAGAAGCTTCCTTGCTGCCCTTCATAGAAGGGACCGGGTAGTACGCTCAGGAGTGTTTTGAACTGCTTTATTTTAGTGATGGAAATCTTGCATTGGTTGGTAATGAAATTGTATCCCACAGGTACAAGGAGAAATTGTGTTTCCAATACATTATATGCAGACACTGTGAATTAAGGTATAGACATCATGTTGATAATGGAAAACTGTATGTTAAATCAGAACAGGTACCCAGTGAAGTATGAATGTAAGATTCACTTTATAAACTGTTTTAGAGGATCTGGATAGATCTGTAAGATGATAACTGCACTGTAATATACTTATCTTTTGTGATCTATATTTTATGCATCTTTAAAAAACAAACAAACAAAACCACAACTTATTTTTCCCCTTTTGATATTTAGTTTGCTTTGCTAGTCCTTTTATTCACATCTACTTCAGTTTATAAAAAAATAAGTGTAAAATTGCATCATTTTGATGCTCCAGATAAATACAGACTTACTTTATTACTTACTGTAAACAGATATAAGAACAATTGATCTCAAAATAAAATGGTTTTACAAACATTTTTAAAAATAAAATACTTCTTTGAAATATTTTTAATATATTGCTTGATTCGCTATCATTAAACTGCTCTTAGCATGCTTGCTGTGTATCTTTCATGACACTCAGTAATACACTGACTTGTATAGGTTTTTAATGACTCTAGCACTGCCATAGTCACTTGGGTGAAAGGGATGTATTTATTGTTAAAGGAATACAACTAAAGGCAAAATGTAGTTATGCACCTGAGACTACCGTTGTACTGGAATTATGGATTTTTCCTGTAAACTTAAGAGATAGGTTGGATTTTCAGGTTCTGAGTTGTTTCAACACTGGCATAACTCTGGAGATGATGTTTGTGTGGGATTCATTGAACTTTGCTGTTTATCAGCTGGTCATCTAGTACGTGCTAGTTATTTAAGCTTGCCTAACCAGAAGTGATGGAGGGAATGCATCTAGAGGGTGAGTCATCCTGTGCTAGCTTAGGTGTTGGAGACAGACAGAAGGAAATTAATTACCAGCTGGAATTCCTTGTTTTCCTACTCGGATAGTAGAAAGAGTTTAGATAACCAGAATTTGTGGTGCAATGGGCTACGGTTAGGTGAGATGAATCCTACACCTACCTGCTTGTTTGAGAGCAACCAGTGAGTCACTAAATACATCCCTTTCAGAAAGCAGCAGTGTTGTAACTGTGCTGATCTAAGGATGCAGTGAGGCAAGGCTAGCATGGGAGGCAATATCATTTATTAGATCAAACTGATAGAAAAAATAGCTAGGCTCTCTAGAACATATTCTTGTTCTGATCTCTTCTGTTAAAGCATTCTTTTTTTTTTCAATTATCTTTAGTTAAAAATATTTGATAGTCAAACTCTCAACTGAATACATTAGAGACACAATGCAATAATTCAAAGACTGCCAAGCATAGGAGTAGACTAACTCCTCTTTAATTCTTCATTGAGAGGAGGTTCCCTCTGATCTTTATTCTTTTGCCAAATTCTTCAGGTCACATCTGACATATTTTTTTACTCTTGGCTAAACTGAAGGTGATCCGTAATAAAAATGAGTTTTCTTCTAAACTTGGACTGTCTTTTCTTTTGTGCTTATTCCTTGCAGACTTCTAAAGTAAGGCTATAGAAAAAATAACTTCCCAGTTCTTCAGAGGATATAGCTAACCTACTATTCATTCACCATGTCATGAGAGTTTTATTGAAGGATTAACATATACTCTGGATATTTTGATATGACAGTTTGGTAATCGCTGTGGCTGAAAGCTATTCATGGAGTGGTTTAGGCATCCTGCCGAAGTTCTCAATAAGGCATATTTTTTCTACCATGTGCTGACTTGCTCAGTCCAGCCCTGTAGCCTATTGGTAGGTTGCACAATCCATCCCATTCAAAACACAACTGTGACAAAGCAGTGAGGGAGGTGATGTTCCTGTTTCTGCGTTGTGCTGTTCCATTGTGTTACACCTCTTCTCCTGCCTATGTTCTGTTGCTCCACCCTCCTTTAGTTTTAGAAATGCCACGTGTTTCTGGGTGATCACACCAGCTCTTGCCATTGCTTGCCTGACTACCACCTTCACCAGAATTAATACTTCCCACCATGCTTTTTAGCTGTATTCTTAACAATGACTCTAAATTCAGTGCAGTCATTTTCCTGGTGTGCTTATGCACTGTAAACAGATTAAGAGATTACATGGGTTTTTCTCAGATGACTCCATGGTCCAACTAAAATCCTTACCAAGATTCCAACTTGGGATATTCTATGATTGTCTCATATTTTTCTAGGGTTAACTGATAATTCTTTCCCTCTTTCTTTTGGGGGTCACCTCTGCTAACTTCTCTTTTTTTATGTCTCAGTTGAGCAAACTTAACTGTATTGGGTAATGTAAGGAACTTAGTTCCTTAGCTGAGCTTGTCTTGCCATGTAATCAGTATATTCAGCTGTCTTGTCATGTTGCAAGTGTGATTAAAATGATCAAAACTTGGTGATTTTCCTATTTTGGATTCATATGTATTATGGTTTCTACCAGTATATATTACTGTGGAAGGAAATGTTCACTTAATATGTATGTTTTGGTAAAAGCGTCGTATTTTAGTTTAATTCAGAATTTTAGAAAAATGGTTTCACTTGAAAAAAAAAAAGAAAAGAAAAAAAAACAACAACACAAAACTTGTAGGTTATTTACTACAAAACAAACTGCATCTTCAATGTCCAGTGTAATCATTTGCTGTAAAATTTACTTTTGTATATCCACCAACTCCTTGGGATGTCCCACTTTTTCCTTTGACAGTTATGTAAGCCAAAGGGTAGAAGAACCTGGGCGCAAGGAGGAGATATGAAGAAAAACTCTCCTGCTGTACTTACGGAAAAATAGCGATAACGAAATGTTTAAATGGAAAGGAAATGGGGTGTTCAACAGACATTCACATAATTACATGCAGAAAAAATACTCTGTACTCTGGAAGCCATGTGTTTTCAGAAAGAAAAAAGGGAGTTAAAGAAAGGGTGCATCTTCTTTAGTTTCGAATATTACACCTAGGATTCAATGATGGATAATGTAAAAATATTTCCGTTCTTTCAGAACAGTCAGATGCTGGTTGCAAGGGATATTAATGGTCACCATTCTTCATCCCTGAGTGACAGAAAATATCAGTGTGTTATCATGTGTTTCTGATTACACACTTTCAATATATTTTTCCCCTCATAGAGTAACTTTGACTTCTTAGCCCTTTCTTTGAAAATACACCGGTTTATTTCAGATTCTTTCATGATAATGCTTTTCTTTGATATGCATGCCTTTGTTCTGTATCTGAGTACTAGCAAGGCCTGTTACCAAGATGGGAAAGACAGAAAAGTATTCTTCTCGTGGTATCTGTGAACCACTTCTGCAACTTTGCATATATAGTCTTTGTAAAATCAACCGCAGTATCAAAGAATATATATAATGCGGATGTATAGGCTTTCAGGTGGTATGGCAAACTTCTGTCTGAAAATGTCTTAGAAATCCATACTCAGGTGACTTTGCAAAAGAATTATTTGTTTGTATCCTATATGGCATGAGATTTTCAGATTATTTTATACTTGGTATTGTTATTGGGTATCAAATAGCCATACCGAATAAATACAAATGTATTTTTGGTAACTGAGGAACAGCAAGTTCTGGAGGGTTTAAAATAGATGACATACGATACCAATAATAGCCCGGTGCAGCTTAGCAGACCTGAGAAACTATTCAAAGGACAAACCAAAATGGAGGGCAGTTCTATACTCCATGCTTTCACTAACATTTATTTTGCCATTTTTGCTTTGTTTTGCTTCAAGCTTTTAATTAAGATTTCCTTGGCTCTGCTGACCCATTTCTATATTGTTAAAGGCAACAGAAAAGAGGCTGCCAGGATAGCAGAAGAGATCTATGGAATAGTCCCAGGTAAAGTAAAAATGCTGGCACTCTAACATTTAGATGTCTATTTGCTACAAATTTGTTGCTTAAGATTTAAAATATCGAATTGCCATGAAATGAGGAGTCTGTTGCTAAATGCATAGGGTGAATGTCTTAAGCTGAAGTGCCTTCCAGTTCTGATGTCTTTGCATTGTCAGTATGTGTTGGCATGCTTTAGGTGTGCAAAATATGAGACTCCAACAGTTACCCTGCTAGAATGAGGACGACATTTGCTCAAGGCACTACAGTCGATAAAAAGATTGTTCTAGGAAGCAAGGCATTTGTTAGTGGGGGTTACAGACAGATCTACCAGCTTTACTGCTAGAGACTACAGGGACAAAATTTAGCATGTTGATATTCTGAAATGAGATACTAGGAGGATATAATTAATGACTTCATGAATCCAAGCCCCAAATCCCTGTTTTGTTAAGTCAGACCATAAAAATGAATACGGCTAAAATTATTCTGAAAAAAATAATGTCACAAGAATATATTTTATTTGCTAGGCTATTTCATAGGTCATTTCACTTTTTTTGGTTAATTTTCTTCCAAGTAATTTTGAAATTACTCCACCGCATTACTGCCATAATAATGTATAGACAGGCATTTGCGTGTCCGGAATTCCAGTAATTAAAATGACACAATAATTTAATTTTACTACTAATGAGAACATATTTTCCTGCTTGAAGATTTGTATCAGCATCGTAACATCACAGATCTTTACGTGACTCAGTCATTGGACACTAGGTTCAAGATGAACTGTGCCACCATGAACAGGCACATGAAAATTAGTGGGTCTGTTTATGGTGTGAGATAGCCATCCAAAGCAAAGATATTAAGATCTGTTCATAAGAAAAATGGTAGAAAAGCATTCCTTACAGACCATTTATATACAGGAATTTCTGTCTCAGGGTTATTAACTTATTTGATATTCTCTGGAATATGATTCCAATTATTTATTGCTGTCACTTTTTCTGAAGTGCCTTCATGCAGTTGTAGACTAAGGCATGACAAACAGCAGTTGTTCCTTCCTACAGGTTTTTATCGAAGTGTCTTTGAAATTTAGCAGACTACAACATATTTTTATCTGCAAGTTGCCATTTGCAAAAAGCCATTAAGGATAATCTTTCAAAATATAAGATCATGTGATGCTGTTGCTGGGGCTCTAGATTGGATTACAGGCAGAGTTTCACAGCCTCTTCTCTTTGCAGTGAAGTAGTGCAGAAGCAGGGCTTCCTAAACTTATCTGTAGAAGTCTAGAAAAGACACGGTGACTTCCAACATGTCACTCACAGCTGTGAAAGGAAGATGTGCCCCGTACGGGAACTATATTTGCCACACATTTCAGGGAGGTAGGTTGCTGTGGCTAGCATGGAAGTATGCAGCAGCATGTATTTTCTTGGTGAGGCATGTGTGTGCATACACACGCATTTACAATGCATGTGAAATGTGTTTCCACATACTATACCAATATGATTAGGAGTTTAATTAAGACACTGTAGCTCCATTATCTCAGTTACCTCTGAACTCTGCTGCTGGATACAACCCATAATTTTTGTCCCTTGCAATGTTACCAGTCTTCTAACTTTCTGAACTGAGCTTGCCTGTTTCACTTGTCAGCATGAGGTGGGGTTTTTTGGATGTTTTCAGGCAAACCTCTCTCCATCCCTGCCTGGTTCCTGTTTCCATCATGCCCGGCAAGTCCTACTTGATCCTGAAGAAACTGGTTGCATAGCATGCTGACTGGTCCTTCCATGCCAGCTTTGTGCCCTAGGAGCCCAGAAACAGCTCCTTACATAAATAGAGACAAAAATAAAAACACTATTTAAAATCGTAACACCATGAGGTGAACTGCATCCCACCTCTAGCATAAGGAACGCACACTGCAAGGAGGCCAAGGGCTGCTGAAAACCTGGCAAAGCCAGAGAGTAATTCTGGCTTTAAACCAGAGAGTGGAACAGATCCTTTAGGTCCATCTCTTCTCCTGCAGCTGTGTGGCAGTCACTGGCGTACAGGCACGACGGTCCCTGCGTATCTCTGGGCTCTGCCACTTCTGCCTTGGCCAGTGAATTTGCCACGTGCACCAGGGTGCCCTTTGTTGGTTGGGCTTCTTGGGCATTGCAGTGAGAGCTTGAAAAAAACTCTCCCATGGCCAAGGCTAAAAAAACCTGCCAAGTCCTTGGCCTGAAGTCCCCAGGGATGTTTCTGAGCTTCTCATTGAGATCTCTCTGCTTCAGGTTACACCTAAAATGGAGATGAATCACCTTTTCCTTTCTCTCTGGTGTGCTGCATTGCTGAAAATATTAAACAGGATATGGGTTTCAAGTACTATGCTTGTAGGGTTACACTACACCAGTGTGAATGCAAACATTGGTATTGCTTCCATCCTCTGGCACTGTAAATGCACTCGCTCCACTTGAGTTACGTTTAATATGGGCTAGTTGGCTGTAAGTGTAGGTAGTAGCTAGGCTAAGGATTTTTTGTTTTGTGGCACTTGAATAGACTAAGATAAGGAAAAGAGCAAGCTAGCTTGCACGAAGGAGTCTGCACAGTTCAACAACTCAAAATGATTAAGGAAGAGAAGTGAAACCTCAGGCAGGATTCATTTTTTTATGTCTGTTCTGAAACCTTCCAGTGAGGAGGAGGATGAAACGTGATACTTGCTAGTCAGAGCTGGAGGAAGTTATTTATGAAATTGTTGGTTTGGGAAATAAAACTGCCAGGGTCATGCTAGAATTCATTTGATGGACACAGTGTCCCAGTGTCTCCCTCCTATGAGACTAAGTAAAGTGAAGGGAAGCCGGAATATGGGTCATTTGTGACAAAAGCTCCCTAGAAGAGACAGAGGCTTGTTATTTTTGTTTATTTTTTATTTTTAATTTTTTTTTTCAATATGAGAACTGCAGGGCTCTGAAGTCCCTGGGTGAGTCCCAACAGCATTAAAGTCATAGTCTTTGCCGAAGGGTGTTTTTTAGCTGTTTTTAAAAGTTCTGCCGACAAGCTTGTGTTTAGGTCCCTTAATGAGTGGTCTGCTTTACTCGGGAGTGCTGAGCCTCAGCTGCTCAGCTGAGATCAATTTATCAACAGTTTCACTGCTGACACTGCATTGATTTTCGAGCCTGGTCTGCATTTACATGCAGTTGCATTTCCCTCGTCCTCCCAGGATCTTCTTTTGTTGCGTACCTGAATTAACCCTTATGATTTTGCTGTTTTAGGCAGCTGGGCAGACAGATCTCCTCTGCATGATGCTGCCTTCCAAGGACGCCTCCTGTCTTTGAAAACCTTGATTGCACAGGTAAAAGCCTACAGGTAAAGACAAGGTTGGGAAGCAGCCTGATTTCTTTTGAATTATATCTGCAAGTCAGTGAGCTGGTAGTAGACTGCAGCAGTGCCTAAGAAATACAGTCATATAAGTAATATATCCACATGCACGCCTTTGGGCAAGTATTGGTTTGCTGAGACAAGACACCGAGTACAAGCCCAGGACAAAGACTGCTACTGCTTGTAGCTTGCTGTGTAATAAACAATGATCCTCGGGCTCTTTTTCAGTGATAAACAGTGCAGACTGGGCTTGAGTAGAATAGGAACAATATATATGTTAGATATTTGGAGGAAAAAAAAAAAAAAAGTAGAAAGTTGTAAGAGTATGTCTTACTTAATAAAACACCAAGCATGGTGTTCCTAGAGAGCTGTCAGCCCGAAACCCTTTATTCGAACTGTAACCGAGAGTTTAGGTGAAAGAAAGAGGGGGAAAGGATATATATTAGAAATGAAAATAGGTGTGAAAATGGACAACTGTAAAGGCAAAGCTATCCTCCTTATCTTTCTTTAAACCCAGATCCTCAATCTGGCACAATTGAGTAATCTCCTCCCCACAAATCATGGTCAATAATTTTCACCTGTGATGGCTGTATGGCGAACAAGGTGAGGCTGCATCTCAAATGGGCAATATCCTCAAGGAGTGGAGCTGCAGGGGCAAATGCCTCTTCTCCAGATATTTATCAAGGCACGGCTGCAGCCGAATGAGGTTGGTGCCTAACCAGCAGTTAGGGCACATCACTGAGGGCATTGCCCAAACGCCCCTTGAGCACTGACGGCCACGGGGCAGCACCCAGCTCCCCAGGAAGCCTGTTGCAGTGTGTGCCCACCCTCATGGCACAGAAACATTTCCCGATACCCAGCCTGAACTCCTTGGCACAGCTCTGTGTCGTGCCCGTGCTCGGCCATCGGGCCCCAGGAGCGGAGGCCGGCGCCTCCCCCTGCGCTCCCCCTCCTCAGAAGGCTGCGGAGAGCAGTGAGGGCGCCTCTGGGCCTCCTCTCCTCCAGGCTGGGCAGCCCAAGTGTCCTCAGCCTCCCCTCACAGCACATGCCTTCCAGCCCTGCTGCCAGCTCTGCTGTCCTCCTCTGGGCACTTTCAGGGACCTCAGCAGCCTTTCTGTGCTGTGGAGCCCAGAACTGCACACAGTGCTCAGGGTGAGGCCTCACCAACACTGAATGCAACAGGAGAATCATCTCTTTTGACTGGCTGGCTGTGCTGTGTGTAATGCACCCCAAAAAGCAGTTTGCCCCCTAGCTGCCAGGGCACACTGCTGGCTGCCACCAGCACCCCCAGGGCCCTTTCTGCCAAGCTGCTCCCCAGCCACCTGGCTCCCAGCCTAAGGATTTGCTCTGTCCTAGGGGCAGAACCCAGCATTTTCTTCTGTTGAAGAGGTCCCTTCTGACCCCCTCTATCTCCACCTGCATTAACTTTACACCATCTTATTAGCAGGAGGCACCCAGTGTTGTAGTTAAACAGTGGATGCCCCAGTTGTTCACTGGTTGTGGTTACACATGGGAGAAGCACCCGGTGTGGCTATGCATTACTTAGTTAATCTACCCTTTCTCCTTCTGCTGGGAACATTAGTTTCAGGAGTGAAGGATGAGGGTCCTTGCTGATGAAAATAGATCGAGGTAGCAATGTCTGTGGAGAGTGAAACGGAGATGATTCAGAGCAGTTTGATAAATGTAAGGGCAAAGCTCTTCATGGAACAGTATAACCATTGCTCATCGCTTCCCAGGTAGTTATGCCATTAGCCTGAAATGAAATATGGAGCTATACTTTAGGGTATGGGGCGCTCAGATGTCTCTGCTTTGGGACCAAGTTTTTATGAAATCTGGGACAGTTTTTGCTTCCCAGGGGATGCCTTGATGTAAGGGGCTGTTTGTGCCTGTGTGGAGATGGGGCACTGGGGTTTTAAAGGAGCCCAAGGACTCACCAATGCCAGCTCCAACACCTGAAGAAGCATCTTATTTTTCAAATACACTGGGAAGAATGTAAAATCATATGAACACAAGGCTTAACATCAGTGGTATTTGGGAAACAGATGTTGTAAGATGTGTAACTTGATTGCCATTTAGTAACTGAGGGGACTGCTATTTTGTCCAAGATATCAGTTCTTATTTTTTCATTTGCAATTAATTAATTTATTTTGTTAAATTTATATATGAATAATGAAAATGAATAGCTCTCTTCTTACCAGGTGCCTCTAGAAGACGTTATTCTCGAAGGAATATACTGATCAGTAAATATGAAACAACTATACAATGTGAAAATGGAATAACCTCAACATTTTTTCAAGATTTTATCTGTTCCCCTGGAACTGTTGTAACGTGAAGGAAATTTGTGCCAGTTTTTAGCCACAACCAGCCTTTGCGTTAATAACATTTTCACATGGCTGAAAAATGATTGGTTTTATATCATAGAATTTCTATCCTAAAGTAATTACTGTGGCTGTTTTTAATGTTCATTGCACCAGGTTTGGTGGCTTTTACAGTGTAACGTTGCTGGCTTGTATTTATCTCTACTGAAAGCATTGCTGCTGGATACAAGCAGTGCATTGCTGCCATCTTGTGAGCTGCCTGGCTTACAGCACGTTGGGCAGAAGGGAAATAGTGCTGCATAATGCAAGATGTCAAGTGTGAAATGAAGCCGCTCCTAGGCCTGTTCTTACACATGGCTGTGAAACTTACGAGGATATTTAGCTGTATTTTGGGGACAGCACATATGGCAATTTCTTTCTCCCCGGTGAATATATCTGGTGTCTGTTTTTGTGGGAATAGATGTAAGAACTGTCACTTGGAGAAATGCCTGTAATGAGGCATGTGTAATTCACAGTTCTTTTCTTCCAGCGTAAAACTTCTGGGTGGTCAGATAAGAGGATATGATCTGTGGGTGAGATTTATCTACTTTACTACACCTGAGTGGACCACATTTGGCACCCCATATAATCAGTGGATGCATTTTCAGGATGCAATTCATTCAATCTGCAGCTACTTCAGGATGAGATGAATCACATCATGAGTGCCTGCTTTCCCCACGGATGGAGCCAAAAGGGTCCAACCAAGCTGCTGGACCACCACCATTAGCAGCTACCCTTTCTGGTGACAACCACAAACAGCAATAATGTGACCCGTGTGCATCTCTACCCATGTACCTCGTGGTGTGGTGCTCTCCATCCAGCATCCAACCACCACTGGTGCCCTGGGGTTGCTACCTGGCCAGGCAGGTCCTTCCCCTCAGGCCCCACGCTCTGCCTTGCAGGGTTTCAATGTGAACCTGGTGACGACAGATCGAGTCTCGGCTCTCCACGAAGCCTGCCTGGGTGGCCACGTGGCCTGTGCAAAGCTGCTGCTGGAGAATGGTGCTCAGGTGAGCCTCAGGGCTGGTGGAGGTCTGGGGAAAATGGCTTATCTTTTTTTTTTTTTTTTTTTTTTTTCTTTTCTCTATAACGATAATTGGAATTGCTTCCAGTCTTCCATGGAGTAGTTTGGGAGTCTCATGTAAGTAGAAACAGATGTGCTTAAATCAATGTCACACTTTGTCTGTTAATAAAATACCATTTTGTCCAGCTGGAACTAGGGTAGAATACACGTTAAAAATGGAGATACAGGAATAGGATTAGATATATGAGAACATATTTCATTTGACTGAGTTACAAGCTTTTCAAGCACAATTTACACGGCAAGAAACTGTGAAACACCAGAACAGGCAATCAAACCATCCCTTGCAGAAGAAAATCCATTTATTAACTTCCCATACTGTGCCATATTTCAGTTCTTTTGAAAGATGGGGAAAACATAAAATAAAATTCTGTGCAGTTTTGGTATAGAAATGATTTTTTATTTTTTATTTTTTGTAATTTAGAGGATCATGTCTGAACTACCTGTTGCTTACTTAAGAAAACAGCCTGTTCCTGATATAATATATAGTCCCAGAGTTTTTTTCTTTGTTTGTTTTCTTTCCCCTCCCTCTCTGTTCATAAATAAAACCAGCAAGCTGTTGTCTGACTTCTGGGAGAAAATGTTCTGTTTTGCTGCTCACCTTTATTGCTGTACCCTATTTTGTTGTTGTTTTAATGAAACCATTTACTCCACAACAGCTGTTTTATCCATCTTTCCTCTTTTACCAGTTAAACCAATGCCCAGTGGAGAGGGAATCCAAAGACGTATTTTCCCTTCTTTGGCTATCTCCTTCCTTACCCTTGCTATCAGCTTGCTTGAATCTCTGGCCTCTCTGTAAAACGATGCCAATGGACCTCCAGTGCCCCAGCAGCTCTAGTCAGACCTGCCCATGAGAGTTTGGGGAGTGCTGCGTTGCAGCAAGAGACCTGTCTGAAATACGGATACTCCAAAATACATCCATTCCTTTCCCTCTGTTGTTTTTGAAGCTGTGTAGGATGGGGGGTTGCTTATCTTGACAGCGAGCAAGGGGATGGGATCTGCAGTGACAGTGCTGTTCAAACAGTCTCAGCAAGAGCCCTGCCATTTCAGGAAGATTGAGCTTCATTTTGGGGCTCCAGGATCTGAGCAGACAGACAGATGTTCCCGTACTGTAGTGCCTGGCCTCTCCCCACACACTGGAGGAGCCACCAAAGGGTAGGAGCTGCAGCAACCCCAGGTGGAGTGTGACCTCCCACCAGCTGCTGTGCTCTTGGGGTTTGCAGGAAATGGCCAGGGCTGAAGCACTGAAAGGGGCAAGGATGGGCCTGTCACTGTGTGAAACACACCTTGTAAGAAAAAGGTTTAACTTGTAAGGTGTCTTATATTAAGTTTGGCAAATGAACAAGGACAACTAATATTTAGAAAGGTATCAACTGCCTATGGTCCACTGCTGGATTACCTAGATAACTCAATAGTTTTCTGAACATCTCTGCCTTTCTCCACTTTACAGGCAAAATATTTTCTAATTGAATTGTGCAAACTGAGTATTTCTCCCCTGGTTCTTCCACCCTCTTGTGATGCTGCTCCTGTTTGGTTGGTAGCAAACTTCAGCTTCATTGGTGGTCCAGGACTTCTCCAGCTCTTTCTCTCCTTTTTCCTCTTCTCACTGATTTGGAAACCACACAAACTGCCATGAGCTTGCACAATTCATTGTACTTTCTCAGTTTGCCACAAAATTAAAAGCATGCAGATTCACTGCATAAATTGCCTCTGAGGGCCTGCTAGGCAGCCAAACCTGGCAGCTACGGTGGTGTGCACGGCACAGCCTGGGCACTGTGCTCTCCTGGTGGAGAATGAGGGATGGTGGCTCTTGCCAGGTATCTATGGCAGAGGTCAAGGACAGAAATTCCTTCTGTCTTACACATAAATATACACACTCACATGAACACAAACCTTTTTGGCCTCCTTTTCTCTTTGGGATTAAGACTATGTTTTCATGAATATGTCTTCTGTTGGAAATGTATTTTCAGGTGAAAGTATTAAACATGGACTGTATTTTCATTTAAAAAGCAAAGTTAGCTGAGTGTATAATGGGTATGTGTTAGTGCAAAATAGACGGTTATAACAATACTCAAGTTCTCCAGGTAAAAAAGAAATAATCTGTGTTTTCTGAGCAATTCCCAGCAGGCACTGTTGCTGCCTTACGGCACTAGCTGTCTGTGAGAGAGGGCAGAACTCGACGGAGAATGTTATATGTGCTGTCCCATAATGAATGACTCTGAAAATTGCAAACAAAATCAATTCTGAAATTAAACAAGGCAAGCATCTTGTCCTGGTGCATTTTTGTTGAGCACATGACGCACACTCCAAGGGCGTTCCTCCTATATCGGATTATTCTGAGCGTGTCCTGCCGTTTCAGGTCAACGCAGCCACTATTGATGGGATCACTCCTCTGTTTAATGCCTGCTGCAGTGGCAGCGTGGCTTGTGTCAACATGCTGCTTGAATTTGGAGCCAAGCCACAGCTCGGGAGCCACCTTGCTTCGCCCATTCACGAGGCAGTCAAGAGAGGTAATGTTCAGGGTGGGAGTGAAGGTAACAGCAACTCAATGCATTCTCTTCCCCTCTGCCCTCAAAAAAACACAAACAAACAAACAAAAAAAAAACGTCTACAGCATGAATAAATATGCTTGGCTTATTCCCATCTCTTCTGCCTCACTGATTGTATCTAGGTGTATTCTGCTCTGCAGCACCAAAATTAAGTGATGGCTCTTTTTCACCACACAGGTCACCGAGAGTGCATGGAGGTCCTTCTGGCCCACAAGGTTGACATTGACCAAGAAGACCTGCAGCATGGGACACCTCTCTATGTGGCTTGCACGTACCAGAGGACGGACTGTGTCAAGAAGCTGCTGGAGCTTGGTATGCTTGCAGATAGGGGCTGGGAGAGAGCTGGGGTGATGTGAACCAGCACAGCTTATCACCCTGGGTTTCCTCTCCAACACAAACATTACAGAGATTTCTGCAAGAGATATGTGGACAGCCTGAATCTGTGAGACATCTGAAATTTCACCTGTATTCAGGAAGAATTTAGGATTTCCTTACTGGAAAACTATAGTTACAGAGACCTACCTGAGACCATCTGAATATGAAAGTAAAACAGAGTTTGTTTTCTAGAATGATGTCAGGAGGCATAGAAAGTATCGGCCAATATTGAGGACCAAAATCAAGTCTTCTGAGTATGAAAAAATTAACTGCCCTGAGAAGCATTGACTTCATCTGCTTCTCAGCTGATGATGAAGATAGTAGTAAAGATGCTTGAAAGTATAATCCCTGTAGGGCCAGGCACAATTTAAGAGCTACAGTACATTTTTGCTGTCAGTGTACATTTGCTGATTGCCACCTGCTGGAAGCATGACCCTGCTGTGAATGGCAAAACCTAGGGCATGCATTTTGTTTGCTGTACTACCGAAAATTATTCCATTCAGATACCTAAAGATTTTTTCCTCCCTTGCCTCTCCCTCACCCATCTTCCCATAACTAAATTAACATAACCTGTGTTAGATTGTGTGATATTAACAAATTTGCACAGCAGGTGATAGCTTTTGATAATCTACTGGGTTGAAAGTCTAAGACTTTCAGTGGTTGCTCAGCCCTACCTGCTGCAGACAGGACTCTGGCTCAGTAGACATTTATAAAGCAGGTATTTGATCTGATGAGTTTTGGACTGGCAGTACTTAGAGAAATTAGGAAGGGCTGGCTGCCACTGATGCCCTTCAATTGTTGAGGCTACTGGTGGAAGCCAACCTCTATGATGCAGGGTCAGAAGGCTCCTGCCTCCTCCCAGTGCCAACCACACACTCTTGTTTTCCCAAGGAGCCAACGTGAATGCGGGGAAGCGATTAGACTCCCCTCTCCATGCAGCGGCAAGGAAATCCAGCGTGGAGATAGTCATCTTGCTGGCAGACTATGGTGCTAACCTGAAAGGCCGAAATGCAGATTTCAAATGTGCCCTGGACCTTGCTGTACCCAACAGCAAAATAGAGCAGGCGCTCCTACTTCGGGAAGGTAAAGGTTTCCTTTCTTCTTCTTCTTCTTCTTCTTCTCTCTCTTTCTCTCTCTCTCTCTTTTTTATTTTAATAGAGCAGTATTTATTTCTTTTACCTAAGTTTTCTACTGATTTCAAGATTGTAGCACAGGCCTACTACGCAGAAATAAGCAATCTCTGCTTTATTGCTACATCTGCTGCACAATAGTAGTTTTAGTAAGTAAAATGGTTGGTTATTCTGTGTTTTTCTTTCCAATGTATGGAAGGAAAATTATTTTTATTTACCAATCCGGACTCTAAGGACTGAGGATTGAAAACTGCTGGGAGAATGTATTTATTGATATAATCACAGCTATTTTAGTAGCGCCATCTTGTGTTCAGTCAAGCACTCTGACTCAACATCCAGCTTCCTGAAGAAAAAGGTGCAATGAATGAACGTTTGTGGGGCTGCTGTCCAAGCCCAAACCTGCAAGCAACTGCAGGAAAGCTGCAAGTAAGCTGCAGTGCCCTTTGCACTCTCTACAATATTTCTATTTATCTTCCCAGTCTACTGAAAGCAACTTCTGAGCAAAAATGAATCTAGCTCCTCTTGTGCCATTTTCACCTGTGCCACATATAGCCAAAACTTGGTGCATCCAATAGTAATATTCCTGGGATATGGACATGCTGGATTAATTCCCCTCCATAACCTTCATTTTTCCAAGCTTGCTCATGCCCTCTTAGTTGGCCTGTGTTCCCCAGGCTCTGCCTTCCCAGACACAGCTAGACACACAGTGCAGACACCTATATGGCATTTTCAGTATTAGCTCAAGAAAAGATCCAGAAAAAAAACTAGCTATGCACACACAAAAAAAGGTTCTTAGTGTTCATAGGTTTAAACTTGCTGAAGCAGTTTAGACAAAATAAGTCAATAATGTGTGTAGATCTCTTTAACATCAACAAGTTGTTGTGTAGTGCTTGATCTAATTTTCAAATCTTGCTGCTCTTTGTTGCCTTTTGACTTATACTGGGGGCAGGGGAGCTTGTTCTTGCTTTTATTTTATTATATTTTTCCAGGTCCTGCCAGCTTGGCCCAGCTGTGCCGGTTGTGTATCAGAAAACATCTGGGTCGGTCGTGCTTATATGCAGTCCCTAAGCTGCACCTGCCTGAGCCACTTGAGAACTTTCTTCTATACCGATAAGTTTGTGACTATATTTACACTGGAAAAGAAAGAGGAACAAATGGTTGTTTACTCCAAAATATTATATCAAAGGAAAAAAAAAAATCAAAGACATCATTTACTGTCTACTCTGGGTACCAAACACTGCTGCTGAATGTGTAAATTGAAGCCAATGGAAAACACCTTTTCACAGACACTGAATGGTATTATGGATTTAGTTCCCCCACAGTTTATTAACAAATGCACTTATTGCAGTTTGAGAAATAATATGTGAACAGCTCGCTTGACATGTGTTTCTAAATGTACATACAGACATCCACCCAGCCACGGACATATGCAGAGATTTCCCCTGCATTTAGTGTTATCTAATGATTATGTTTTGTTTTGTTTTGTTTTGTTTGTTGGTTTTTCCTGTAATATCTATGCAGCTTCATCCTCTTTTTCCTCCAATCTCACCGTCAAAATCAAGGTAGTGGCTGTTATTCTTCCACTAGAGTGGGAATGAAAACCTTCAGCACTTAATGTCAAATGTATTTATATACTTGGCATCTTTTGTCCTCTCTGACTTTGCTTTCTGTCACCTCTTTCCCGTGTCCTAGTGGAGTTGTAGTGACTTCCAGCAGGCTCCATCTGTCCAGCTGCCGCATGTCCCATCGCCCTGGGCCCAGCTGTCCTCAGTGCTCACACATCTTTTCCTTCAAGGTGAGAGTGACATTACCAAGTCATGTGCAGGGGCTTGGAGTAAACCCACAAAAATATTTGTAAGTCTGAAAAAAACCTTTGTCTCTTCTAAAAAAAAAAAAAAAATCTTCTAAGCTATCTTACCTGAGATCAGTCTCTGTTTGTTATACAAATATTTTTTTCTTAGCTTAAAATGAAGGCAGAACTGCAGGTGGTTTCATAGGCACAGTAGACCAGCTTTCGGTGTCTGTCCTTTGCAAAGTTTAAAGAAAACCAAAGGAATGATTTGCTTCTCTCCTTTTTGGCTTTGAGTGCTCTGACATTTCTCAAGATAAGTCCTCAGACTGCAGAACAATAGAGAAGCAGGGTCCCTAAGGATGGCTGTTCATCACTCAAATGTTCTCCTTGTTTGTTATTGTCCACCAGGAGAAGAAGTTGGCAAGCTCGTCTGCTCCCTCATTACTTACTCTGGAGTCTTTCATCACATCACTGGGAAAAGGGTATTTTAAACAGCAGTTCTGACCACTGTGTTTAAATAGTTTAAATATTGTCAGGGTTTGTAGTTTGGACACAGCAGAGCTGAAACTGCAGACTTTGAGGTGAGATACTTGGGATCCAGTGACTGGTGCAATGCCTGAGGGGTTCTGTAAAGGTTTATCTTTCCTGTGGAGGTTGTTCTGAGGGCAGAAATGTTTCTGCACACCTGCGTTTTGGTGAAATGAAATGGGCAATGGCGTTTCACCAGCTTTAACAAAATAGGACATAAAGGTTAAAGGAGAATCTGCCTACGCATAGCTCAGCTATGTGTTGAGCCAAGAGGCCCACAATTTTTCAGGCTATGAGACGTGGTGGTTTTATTATGAGCTATGCATGCTAGTACCAGTTTTCACTGCCTGTACATGAAGTCAGGGGAAACAAGCCTGCAGGAGATGGTATAGGGGACTGGTTTCCAGCAGGCGCTGAGCTGCTGTCCCAGCTCCAGCAGCATCAGCCTCTGGTCCGGTGCTTATCCCGTAATTTCACCGTGACAGTTTCCCTCTTGAGACAGAGGACTAACCTTTCCTGTATTTTCTCACGAATCATTCAGCACAAGTAAGACAAATTGTGCTCCCAGCAGTTCATGAGACTATACCTGCAGTGTTATAACTGAAAATGAATGTAGTCTTCAGCCTGTGAAGTAGCCTGTGTTTGCACATATTGAATGCTATCTGACAGCAAGAACTATTGCCCATAAAGTCTTCTGTGACATGAATGACCTTGTGTAGTACAGCATATCATGAATCTCAGAGATTTGAACTCTAAATTCTCAAGAGCCTCTGAAAATCAAATGCTATCAAGAAAGAAATGTCTATATTAATTTAATGTCAGCAAATCTCTCTCTGTCTTATCTTTACTGCCAGCTCACCTACTCTGTTTATGAGGCGGCAGTCAGAATACCATCTGCTATCCAAATAGAGAGACAGAGCCTCAGCTGTGTGGGTTGTCAGGCTTGTATTGCAATCAAGGAGCGAAGACAATTTATGGGATCTATTTCAGAATGTGTAATACCGAATTGATTTCCTACTGCGATCATCAATGAAAACAGTATTTCACTTGCATAGGATTTTAAATTGAAAAAATGTATCTTCATTAAGGAAACGCAAAGCCCATTCAGCCTCTCGGAGAGGTTTATGTTATGAAGTAGCAGAAGCTGCCCTATTTTATTGTTGATATTAGCTTTCCATCAAAAAATCACCTCACCTTTGCATCCTTCCAGAGACGACATTCTTCCTGAAATTCCATATATCAGATATTCCGGGGGAACAGAACTTTAATAAATCAGGAGAGAAGTTTAGAAGTCTTGATGTTAAGCAATTTCATTGGAAACTTTACCTAGACTTTCTTGTTCTTATCACAAGTGTGGTTCAGACTAAAACTACACATTTAATTTTCATTGGCTATACTTTGTGTTGTAGCAATGCACATAAATATTACCATGGAAGCAGTTGGAGGTTGGTTTTTTTTGTTTGTTTGTTTGTTTGTTTGTTTCCAAATACGCCGTCTCATGTGAGGATAGGGAAACGCTGGTTTAATTTACTAGGAGATTACTGAACCTTGTTGGTGATTTTTCCAAATGAGTTGGGAAAACATCTGTCAGGTGTAGATACAGCTTCTCTTTCCTAGGCAGAAGATGGCTGACTACCCTCATAAGGTCTCTTTTCTTTAAAATGGGTGACATCTTCCATGCCACTCTATGATCATTGACAGAAACCAGTTATTTGGGAGAAATACATCTTTCCTGGGAATGTAGACATTTTTTCTGTGTTGCAATGTCCATTGCTATGCCACATGCATATGATTTTACCCCCAACGACTGCCAGTACTATCTGCTTCAGTGAAGCATATCTCAACAGGAATTATTACACAATATCTTGGCTGGAGGAAAATATTTTTTGCAAACCACAAGCATTTGGTCATTCTACGTCTGGACTCTGACTTGCAGCTTTGCAGCATGAGCTTGGGGTATGAATGCTCAGCAGCCATGAAGTCCTTAGTCCCGAGTGTATTTTGCAGAAATGTCTTGAAAAGGTTACTCATGAGCAGTATTAACCCCAAGAATTTCCTTTTATTTTTCTCAGTCTGTTGGGCCACTTTTCAGTTTTATTATCCACACATTATGAGTGAGCAAGCATGGACTCAGAAATGCTGATGACGTGTACCTCTCAGATCTCAAACTGATCAGATGGTGGCTTCAAGCTGTCACTCCTTACTTAGTATGCCTGTCATTGGTGGTGATCCAAAGCAAAACAGGGTTAACTGGGCTTTGTATCAGCCCTGAAGGCTTCTTCTAAAATAAGCCTTCATATCTATGTTCTTTCTAGAAAAAGATGCATCTCCATGACTCCAAGTATCTTTACAGTCTGGACACTCACTGTATTTTTTTGCATACTACCAAGCTCTTGTTCATAAGCATATCTTTCCTCCTCAGCTTCTTCCTGGATTCATGTCTTTCTCCTCTGCATGTAAGAAAACGTTTTTTAATCTCCTCCTTGAGCAACACGCCTCTTCAACAGCAGACATTTTAGTGAGGGTCAACCTGTCTCCTTGTCAGATGTGTTATTTCTCCCACTCACCAAGCTGCTGTCTTTGGGTTCCCCACTCCAGCCCTGCACATCTCAGCCCTCCCTTGCTCTGGAGATGGCACTGGTGTTTGGAGAGACATCACACCCGTGGCACATTGCTCTTCAGCTGTCATGTCCCTGTGGGAACATGACTGCACTGGCCACCCTCTTTAAGCAGAGCTGGAGCACATCATTTTGCCATGCTGGGTGTTGTCTGGACTAACTCCCAGCATGGCACCACTATTTGTTTGCTTGCTGGCTGCACGTAACTGTTTTTCACCATGTCTGGTCACAGCAGCAGACAATCTGTGGATGTTTGCAGTTTGCACTGGCTTGTGAAGGTGATTGTGGGGATGCTCTTCTTGTTCCCCACCTTGTTGCTATCTCAGCACCTTGGCCCAAGACCTGGTTCCAGGTTGTCTTGTAGATTGAGAGTACTTTTTTCCAGAGTTTCATCTGCAAGCATCTGGCTAATGAGCCACCTCCTAAGGGACATATGGCAATCAAAGTAAATAGACCAACACATTCTGAAAGGGTTTAATAAACACTGTTTATCATGGTAGGCAGGAAAATAAATATTACATTCTAATCTGGTCCATAAAAGATACATATTCTGGTCTCCTGACCAAACCTGGGGTTCAAGCAGCTTCCAGAAAGTCTTCTCTGAGTCTCAACTCTCCATAACAGTTGTGCCAGTCTCTGATTTTCTGTCTGTCCAACTGAATCTCCCACTCTCAAAATGAAATTAAAAAGGGAGGAAAATGTTAAGCTGCTGCAATTGGTGGCCACCCCATAGGAGCTGAAACTCTCCACATATGCCTTGAGGTGCAGACACCCCACCTGCCTGAACACATGCAAGACTCAGAGGTTGTCTGTCCTTCCTTTCTCCTGTGATGGGAAGTGCTTGTGCCCCTTTGGATGGTGGTACCAGGGGCCCATCTCCTTACAACCTTGCCTTTCACCAGGGAACTGCAGCCTGGTCAACAACCACCTCATGGTATGTAGTCTTCTGTTTGATGCTGATGCGAGACATTAATGTTGTGCCAACCATGTCCAAATCCTTGTGAAGGCTGTCCAGCACATTCCCATCCCAAATCTCACCTGTCTCTTTCAGCACAACTCTGCTGTTGGCACTTAACAACCCTCCAGTCCTCACTGGGTGAAAAACATTGGTGGTGTGTCCCAGCAGGGCATTAGGGCAAGGCTGGATATTTGGCCTGATACTAGTGAAAATGAAACACATTCACTGACTCTTTGCTGAAAGATTTGTGTACTGACAGTTTATGATGCCTTTGTATATTTTTTCTGGAAATTAACTTTTTTTGCACAAGCCAATTGCTCCTCATTGTGATTTTTTTTTTTTTTTAATTTTCTGCAAGAGATGTATACTATGTTAACGTCAAATACAGAGTATTCCAAACAGACCTTCTGTCTAATCTGTTTCTTGAAAATCTCTTTATCCTTGAAATTCATACCATTTGCAGAAACTCGTGATATGCATTGGAAACAAAGGGAAAACTACACCCATTTTGGAATTGAAAACTGTTAAATAAAAGGTATCAGGAATAGTGGAAGAAAACATAATTTACATATTCGGCTGAGAATATCATCTGGAAGGTGGGAGAGATGCATTGGCAGAATGTATTATTCTAGCATTTTGTTTAACAAGTCAGTCAAATCAACACATTAGACAGCAAACCATTGCAACTAATATATATATATGTATGCATATATTTACCAAGTGTGGGAGATTCCTTTTTCTTCTTATTTTTCAGTTGATTAGACTTAAGTGTACAGAACTTTCTATCATGGCAATTTGAGCAAAACTATTGCATTGTAAATGTCAAAACTCAGCACATAGTCAATGTAACAATTTTTGTCATTACACTCCTAGTTGGTGACATTACCTTCTGCAAGTATAGGTTTCCAGAATCACAAACGCATACATGGCTCTCATTCAAACACAAAACTGAGGTATGAGAAATATAATTAAGTTCAAGCTATGTTAAAAAATAAAAATAAAAAAAAGGTATAAAAACATGGAATATCCCAAGTTGGAAGGGACCCACAAGGATCATCAAATTCAGCTCCTGGATTGAACGTTTTTAGCTGTAAGATGTAACAGACTCAATGCTGACTTGGAATAGGGGAAAAATGAGTCTCCCAAGCCAGTCTTTGAGGGCAAGAGAGGGTATAAACAGCATTTAAACACGTTTTCCTGAAATACTCTAGTGGACTAATGTACAGGGCTCTCTAGTTTCATCTTTTCTCCCAGATGTAGGGATTCAGCGGAAAATATCTGAAGACACAGACAGAGAAGTATTCCACCCTGTATTGCTTTTTCAGGCCTGGAGGCTGTGGCTATTTCATCTGAACTCCTCTGCAATGCAAGCTGTAGAACCTCACCCAGTAATTACGATAACCCAGACCATGCTCTGGGCTACAGCGCGCTTTACAAAACCTGTAGGCACAGCAAGCTTCCCTGCCTCCCAGGGAGCTGTGCTACTGCTGCTGCCACCCCGGGCCAGGGGAGGATGAGGATGAGGATGGGAGGCTGCCTCCTCGTTCACATGCATTTACTCTTGCCCAGAGCTGGAGCTGCTGGCACAGTTGTGTAAGGCAGTGCTGGAGGTGCTGCATGGACAAAGCCAGATGAGTTCGTGTTTCACATTCTGATAACCCAAACCTTTAGAAAAGAAGAGGACACATTAGGTGAGTAACGACAAAAACTGTCATACCGAGTGTTGTTTTGGGGCATTTGGTGGGTGAATTTTGCTGCATCCTGACTTTATTCAGACATATGTTACCTGGGACTTGCTGGCAGTACATTTTTTGTAGTGGGTGATTCATTTTTCTGCCAGGTCTAGCTGCTGGTTATAAAGTTTAATGTGCTGTAACAACATAGAAATTAGACAGGATGGGAAGGAAGGGAGATTTAGAGGTTTCCAGAGAAAACTTGTTCTAACATTTGTTTTATGGTCTAGGAGTCTTTGTGAGTAAAATGTTTGTTTGTTTTCCCCTAGTAAGAGAAGAATTAAAGGCTCGCCAGGCCTTATGACTTACTCATTTTGTGATGCCTGTGTCATGCTCCACCAACTTCACAGTCATTAATCCCACTTTTTTTTTTTTTTTTTTTTTTTTTTCCCCTAGGATGGTGAGGAATATGCATTTTGCTTTGTATTTGGAAAGCGGTAATGTATGAACTTACTAAGTCCCAGAGGAAGTTAGTTTACAGCTAGTGTGCTAAACATTGTCATTTGTTGCATTTTTCTTGCACCAGATGCTGATTAAGTATCTTGTCCCAAGGAACAAATGGGTATAGGTGGTGACAGTGGCCCAATGTACTTGAAGGAAGCTGTAGCAATGTCCATGATGGCGTTAGCTCTTCGTAGCAGGGTTTTCAACAGTGGAAACGCAACATACTTCTTCATATTTAAGGAATTAATCAAAAAAATAATGACTATTTATGCCAACTGGGAGCAAAGTACTAGATGAAGAATACTAGTAGCAGGGTTACACTGTCTGAGGACAGGGCACATGATGTGGGCATGGAACAGGAAACAACTAAAAAGTTCAGCATTTTACAGCATTTTCAAATATTAAATCAGGGTACAGCTGTTCCAAAAAATGTTTAAATTCATATGCCCATGTGGACCGCTGGGAATTGCTGTTGTTTAAAGATCATCCTCAAACTGTGTAAACAGAGCTGCTACTGTTCCCTGTTCATGCTGTCTCCACCATAATGTAAGCTGAAATACTTTAAGGACACTGCCCAGAGGCACATTCTTTGCTTACTGTTTGTATCTCATTATCTTGCAGGGAGATGCTTGCTTTTAACTGTTTCAAAAGGTTAGCTCCTGCTGCCTGTAGCCTGAGGTGTGTGTAAAGACACTTTGACTTTGTCCCAGGAGCTTCATGCCTTCCATCACTGAGCACTTGTCAAAGTCCAATCAACCCCAAATATCCAAGCTGGCTCCTAATTAATGAGTAGGATAATTTAGATTTGCTGTTTGTGCTTTTAGTGTCACTACAGATCTACAGCAAGGCATATATATGTGACATGCGGTCCTGAGTAACTACAGTTACCAAGGAACATATTTTGGGTTCAGGGTTTGCCAAAGTTTCAGTGAAAAGTTTCCACTGAAATAACATCAACTAGTAATGCCAGCTTGTTTCCAAAAGCAGCTTCCCATGGGCTGTTGGCTTAGATAGGACAAGAAATTCCACTCTGAGCCTAGTGGTGTTTTTTATTTTTATTTATTTTCTTTATTTTTCTTTTTTTTCTTTTTCCTAGAAATTCATGTTTTCCAGTTCTGCCCCTGAAGCTGTCCCCTTCCACCCAACATGGTGGCAGGCATGGCACCACAGCTGCTCTGTGGGGTGTCCATGGAGACCCCAGTTTGTCTGACATTTATTAAAACATTTGTGCTGAAATGACTTGTTTTGTGCAGAATTTTTCCCTGTCTACTACTCAGCCATTGTACATGGATGAGAAATACCTAGGCTTTTCTTGTTTGCAGCAGCTTGGGAACAAATATATTTTTGCTACTGACCATGAAGTCACGTTAGCTCTAGAAAACTTGTTATCAGAAGAAACAGCAAGGTGAGGAGTGAAGAGGTACTCTAGATCTTATGATGTCTGCCCCAGTGCTGTTACAAGGAGAGAGGAAGAGAAAACAAAATTTGGGTGTAACATGCCCTAACATGCCCACCTTTTCAAAATGGAGAATGATCCGGACAACTCTTTTGTGCTCTGCAGCTGAAAACCTCCAGGTCTGCTCTGAAGATGCTGAGTGCACGGAGATCTGTCACAGGTAAGTGGCCTGAGGGAATGCAGAAGGTCTGCAGATGGGTCTGGCCTCTGCCACCCCCCTGCATCATGTCTTGTCACCAGGATGGGATCTGGTGCGTACTTTTTCTGTCCTGCCACCAGCCAAAGGGCTGGCAGGATCCTGGGGAGGTTCTGTCATCCCTGCTCATGGACACAGGGGACAATTCCTGGTCTTTATACTTCAGTTTGGGCTAAGCCTTGCAACCAGTATGTCAGTTTCCAGAGGTAATTTCCATTCTGTCACAGTATCAGACGTTCAGGTAAGTGGCCAAGCTGGATGGGCAGTAACTAGGAAATGCCTGCACACTCGTCACTGTACTCAGATCATAGTCCTTTAGGAAGGAATACTCTTATTTCTACAGTATCAGTTTTGTGAATCTGCACTCACTATCTGTCAGAGGATTTGCAGCCTCATGGAAAACAAAAGTGAAGCCGTGTTTGGGGACAGCAAAGGAAACATCTACCAAAGCACACTACTGTTGTGTTTATTACAGTCCTGGGTTTGCATTTTTATCTTTCAAGGCAGAGAATATGGATAGCTGCTGATCTGATCAGTTAACCTGTCAGTGCCAAGGCATGTGAATTTCTTCTGACTGAAGACAATGATGCCAAGTTCAGATGCCAAAGGTTTGATTTAGGCTATTCCACAAACCCTCCTTTTCCACAGCACCACATGCTGTCTTCCAGGAGAGGTGCAGGGAGACAAGTGTGGTGTTTGGGAGAGTTTAATCATTTCACACACCTTAGTAATTTGCTAGTAACTTTTGCCAAAAGAAAATGACAGCACCTGCTACGTGAGTGAGATGCTAAAGGGAACAGAACCACATAAAATGTCCACGGACATTTTTCTCCTGTGCTGTCATTTTCCAAGCAGTTAAGCTGGCAGCATAGCGCTCTGCAGGCTGTTTTTGGAGGCCAACAGACGTCCCAGTTCAGGACATGCATTAAGGTATTGCAGGATTTATTTTTTTTTTATTTTATTTTGGGTGCAAGTTCATGAATTGTGTTTTTCAGTAGTGATAAGATGTTGGTCACTTTGGGATGCCATGGAGAAGTCCTGAGAGGTCGTGTGTGTGAGAACATTTGGGGCATGCTGGCTTTTCCCACCATGGGCAGAAGCGTGGGGACATATGTCACTTAAGGGAAATTTCTAGAGGTAACCTCTAACAAGGTCTGTAAAGCCACCTGTGATTGTGGGTGGAAGAGCTTATTGCAATGTAATGTGCAAGATGGGCAGTGAACATTTAACCCCAGTGAGGCTGGGGAAGAGAAGCACTAGAGCAGAGGTGCTCTCAGTTAGAATCTGAGTGCCCTGAATCAGATACCTCCAACCCATAAGCTCCTGTCACTTTCTCATTGGCCTTTTTGTTAGTCCTCAGCTGTTACTGCTATTCCATCCTGGTACGGCATAAGTAGTGGGAAGAGAGAGCAACTGGGTGGAGATATAGAAAGTCACTTGGTTTGGTAAGACCAACCATGGGCCTTTGGGCCTGGAAAGACAAGATGTTGGGTAGTAGTCAGTGAACTGGGGAATATGCCTAGGCAGGTCTGAATGGGGCCTGGCACCATGAACACTGCTGTACAGGACCACCT